CCACACTTCTGAGTGATCCAGTTTTAGAAGTCAGCAACAGCTGTAGGATAGCTTAACTGAGGACTGGGGGGTCGTGCAATGAGAAGAGCTCCCTGTTGTTTTTGTAAGAAAGGAAAATCTCTTCCAAGTTGTGGCAGTCTAGAGCTGAGTGGGGGATTCCATCCCTTAATAAAGTCAGCCATGGGGGGCTCACAATTTGCCTTATACCTCTTGTTCGTAGGGTTGTTGATGATGGTAATAGCTGGAAAATCAATTACAGCCAGTATAGCATCAGGAAACACGGAGGAACAGCTTTGAATGGGGTTGCAAAAGCAGTCCTTGGGTTCAAAGTGCCTTTCATAGCCACAGGGCAGGAAGGATGAGCCCACCGGTGAGACATGGGGGTGGGAGACCAGAGTCCTCCTCCCAGCTGCACCACAAGTTCCCAGTGGGAGCTTGTCTGCCAGCAGGCACAGGTTTCCTTCTATGTGACCCCAGGCAGATCACACCTGCCTCCCTGGCAGGGCTCCTTCACTGGGTCTGCTGGATACCCACAGATTCTTAGTTAGACAAACATTGTCATTCAGTCCCAGATATTGGCTGACTTTTCTCAGCAGCCAAAGTGAAAATCATAACAAAATTTCCCAGATTAATTATTTTTCTTTGACGGATCAAATATATATATATATATATATATATATGTTTTTTGTTTTGTTTTGTTTTTGCTGGAATAAAATATTTATTTTTAGGGCTCAGTCCTTAAATGATCAAGAAAACAAAAGGCCCTCTTGAATCTAGAGCCTGACCTATGGACAGGGTGAGGACTTATCAGTGCAGCTTGTTCATGGACATCTGAAAGTATGATAGAGATGGGGATATAGTGAAAACTTCCTAGGTATGAGGTCTCTCTGCAGAAAGACTTGCCTGAAAGCATTTCTTCATTTTCCAATGGACTTCTCTTGGAGTCTTAAGCATCTCCTCCTGTGAGCAAGAGATTATGGCGTGGCAGCAGATGGAGGAGAATATAGCTAAGGCTACAGAATCACTGACAATTGTCACTAAACAAATGTCCTGCAGATTTTGCATGGGTGTAGTGAGTATATGCAAAAAAATAAATTTTGTATAATCCATCTCAACATTTTCCTCCCTAAAATAGCTTCATCAATTTTTTATGCTAAATGAATAAATAATAATGAGACACTTAAAGTGTTAATGGAGCATTAATTATTGCTGAGGTTTCTGTGGAATGTGACATCCACAGAAATACTGAACAACTTTATGACTAGCATAATTACAGAGAATATTAAATGAGGCAAAAAGTGATGGGGCTCTTAGCAGCTGTTAGCAATTGTTCATACAGGACATGATTTCCGATATTGTATTTACCCAAATTGGCTAGAAAAAGCACATGAGGCAAGTAAAGCACAATGAATCACTCTAGTTTACATCTCTACTTTGAGAAACTGCTTCCTCATTGCCCACAGGAGAATAATAAGCGTGACCATTTGGGTCTGGTTTAAACCTGAGACTGTGGCAATATGTGTCAGAAAAACTGAGGGCTGTTTTCTATTCTTGTTTGGAAAGGTGTTATTTTTTTTCTTATCAGGAGTACAGCAAACATGAGTCAAAGTGAGGAGGAGATCTTAAACTCAACCATTCGTACACTGCTGGGAAATCAGAGTTTAGCAGCCAGGAAAGGCTCTGGGAGAACAGATTATAGGTTTTGGGTCACTATGGGTATGGAGACATGGAGTGAGGCTTCCCACGCATTCCCTTCTTGCCAAAGCAGGGCTGGCAGTCCTGGAGCACAAGAGTTCTGGGCTGGTAGAGCCCATGCCTGCGGTAGGGCTGCAGATTTAAGGCTTTGAATTGTACACGGGTGTGAGACTGAAGGGAAACAGGGGCTCCTGCAGCCATGGTGAGGTTCTGGGGTCTCTTCCAGAGCACGTCCTTTTGTCCTACAGACCCTCAGCCCCACACTGGGTTTAATTATCCGAGGCGAAGAATTGACCTGGGAGCATGAAAGCAGAATAAAGAGGCTTACCGCTACCTGTGAGAAAATACCCTCACTTGTGAACTTTGAATTCACTTGAAACTGAAACTTGAGCCTGGATTTCAGCATCGGAATTGACTGCCGAGCGTTCCCGGTGAACAGCCTTTGATGAGCTGCTGGGCAGAGCAGGCTGGCTTTTCTGCATGGCTGAGCTCCTGGCTCACACGGCCCCACTTCAGTGCGTGACTGACGGCCTCAGAAAGCGGCCTCCCTCTGCCCAGAGCGACTTGAGCTAACTTGCCAACACAGTTTAACTTTTGGATTAAACAAGTTTGAGATGTGCCTGAAATGTTCCCGCATGTAGAAATCCCTCTGTGAAAGGGCATGTGAAAGGTGAGCGAGATGTGGGGGAAACTTGTGTTTCATTCATACTTACTTCTCTAATTAGAAATGTGAGTTGGTAGTTGTGTCCCTTCATTCTATTTCTATAGGCTCTTTTGAACCCCTATTGTACTTGAGAGCCTGTTAATTTCCTCAGCAGACTAATTCAACTTGCTCTGCTGACATGTACTTAATTATGTTTCAGTTAACTCATTTTCCAGGATGATGCTCAACTGCTGTCTGTAAATGAAATCACTGTCTAGCTAATCAAAAGTTTCTGAGTGTGATCTCTTCTGTGTGTGCATGCACAGGCAGTTCTGGCTTTCTGATTGTAACCCTGGCTGGAGCTCTGGAAGATGAACGTGTGCAAGTAAAACATAAGGACAAAAGTAAATGAACTCTGAACCTTCTGAAACTCCAAAATCTTTCTGCAATTAAACTAATTAAGTTTCTATGCCTGGGAGCATTTGATTAGAAAAGCTTAGCAGCTAAATGGGCTCTTAAGGGAGGCAGAGAGACCTTTGCACAAGATACCATCAGCAAGTATGTCCTTCCTACAGCGGCCCATGTAGGTAAAGCAGGCCCAAATGAGTGTATGCATATCACAGAAATATCCCCATTTCCCCCTGATTGGATCTGGTCAAATTTTTTGGGATGCTAAGTGTCCTGGATGACCTTTCACACTGACTAGGTTTGAGGTAGGTTGTTGATGTCACAGCTGCCTCTTCTCCAGCAGTGCAGAGAATGAGCTCTTCCCAAATGAGGCCACAGCAGAACCCAACCCTGCTTAATTAACTGTGAACTCATGTGGAAAGAAAGTTTAGAATTAGCAGAACTTTGGGAAATGAACTTTAACTGGATGTGTTCATGGAAACACAGTGCTAGATTTTGACTTGTAGTAACTTGGTTGGTAAATATGGAGCTATAGCCACACTAAAACTGCTGTGAGTGTTATAATGTGCCTGCAGTTCCTCCTTGTACTAGGTGACATGGGATGCCCCAAATGACATTTTGGAGCTCTATATCCAAGCCTACAGAAGTGTAATAATCCCCCAGGGAATGTGCTCCTGCTATTATGAAATGAATTTAATGAATAAAGCTAAGGCAAGCACTGTGAGCCATGCATGCCAGGAACATCTGAGGTGAGGGCTCTGAGAGGCACACAGTCTACATAAAGAAGCACAGCTAACAAAAACAAACTTTCTTGCATTCAGAATTCCAAAGTTATTTCACAATATTCCGTATATCCCCTTCATTTTCTCATCTGGGACTCGTATAAAGCAGACATGGAAATCTTCTGTTTCAGGAAGCTTGGGACTTTGTTTTTAATTATCAACTTTAATGGGGGAACTTAAGTAGACACCTGATTCCTCCTAGAAGTCTCTGGTAACTGGCATTTAGATCTGATTCCTTTATGTTCCTTTTTGGTAACTAATCTATACCTCAGGTTTCAGAAAGGACATAATTCTGAGGCTTTTTCTTTTTTCTTTTTTTTGTTCCTCCTGCTCACAAACACTTAACTTTCCTAGTCAAGTCTAGCATGAAAAGTCAGTTCCATCTAAAGCTAATCTTAACTGGCTAAAAATCTAAACTGAAGTGGAAATAGTGCATTTCTCAGGCTTTGTAAAATGATTCTTCTCTTAAAAAGATTATTCCTCTTAAAGAGAGGGAAAATAAAATCATTAACTAATGAAGAGCTGGATTTCTTCAACACTGAAAAGAGTTTATTTCCCTGTTGAATATGTTTGAGTGGGTGGGCTGGGTTGTCAGAAATCTCAGAATCAAGAGCACAACCTGGCTAATTTGCAGTTAGCTGGTGAAATATCTAGCAAAAGCTTGCTGCACTGGTGATGCATGAAAAATGTAATTACAGGCAGAAATAGTGCAATAGGGATGCACAAAGCAGAAGGTGAAAACAATTGTTCAATCTGCAGTACTGCATACAGTGTTTTATAGGCTGCTCAGGTATTTCATAGTACTTCTTGGGGTCTTATGTCTGGAGGATGTCTTCATAAAGACAATATGAGGACAGAAGACACAGATCCCCTTAAAATATGTCAGGAGCTTATCCGTAAGTACTAATAGCTCAGTAGGATTGATTTAGGCTTGCTAGTCAACATATTCAGTTCACCATCACATGTTCTGATAGAGTTTTGTCCCAAGACCGTATGCTATTTAGAGATTCTTTTGTCTCTGGATTTCAGACATCAGTTGTGGATTTTTTATTGTCCAGTTTTTTTGTGTGTTTTTGTTTGTTTGTTTGTTTGTTTTTGTTTTAAAAGGCTGCACTCCTAAATGCACCACTAGTATCTTCTAAGGTAACCTTTATGAAAGAGGCTGCGTGGCCTTTTCTCATATTGGAAGCTCAATTCTGAAATATACTCCTTGGGTGTTGGTTTCTTTTGCCAAAGGTATGTAAGTGCCTCTGGTTTCATTTATCCCTCACTGATCCCCAGCAAGCTCTTTGGTCCTGGCAGTGCTCATGCATGCAGCATGATTAGAAGTGTAGTTGTTGCTCAACTCCTATAGCTTGCAAGGACTAAGAACAGGTCGGAATGAACTGCTGACATTATGTTGAAAACAGTAGCAAATATCCCACTGAACACAGTGAGGGCCAGTGGATTTTGCTTTCAAGAAGTCAACATATCATCAGTGTAGCAGTTCCAAACCTAGAATTTTTAAGAATAATTGAGTTGAGAGATATAAATAGAAAAAAAATACAAAATAAACTATGCACAAGCCACTTCTTTACACAGAAGTGTAGCAGAATGACTTTCAGTAAATGAATGCATTAGTTCACGCTCTGCAGGATCTGTGCAAGTGAAGTCCTGCTGTATGTAAATTGAAAGCCTAAGAACTTCTGTGGCTAGGCAAACAAACCAAACGCGTGCTTACCTTGTGAATCTGTAATTAATTCATGCTCCTGGGTAAAACTGAGTCCTTTACAAAATTCAGCACCTTTTCAGTCCTGAAAAATATTGACAGTGGAATAATTCAGGCATTGTAATTTCTAAATGTAATTAATATCTAATGAAATCCAATGTACAAGTTGTAGTCAAGAAATTAGGTAGTAATTGACACTCACTGACTGGCATCTGAAAACTGGAGGGAGGTAAATGTGATCGTAATCACATGTTAAAAGGATGGGGATTGGGAAGCGAGTGAAATCTAGGAACTGACATTTGTGCCAGGCAAATTAGATCAGGCTACAAGATGGGATAGTGTTACTGGGCACCTGGGTGAAAACAGGCAAGCAGTGAAGAGTCACCCTGGGTTCTGTGAGGGGACTTCTGCCTAACAAATCTCAAGGGGCACTTTGGTGAGGCCAGCTAATGTGTGATGCTAGGACATAGCATCCTCAGTTTTTCAGTGGTCTTTTCATAGAAGTATTCATGGAAACTAAGTGATAAAGTGTCAAGAAGTAAGCTCCTAACCCATGCAAGTAATTGGCTAAATGATAGAAAAGTATGGGTGGAAGTAAGGAGTAATTTTCCTCAGTGGAGGGAAGTCACCAAAGGTATTGTGCAGGTCCCTTGTCTGTGCTAATCATCTGTGTCAAGAATGGGTTGTTTAACATATTCTTCAGTGAGATGAAAAGGGAAAGGAGTCATGAGTTTACCTGTTCTAGTAATACGTTGGAGTCATCCAACGTATTGAAATGAACAATTATAGGGATTGCAAGGGGACCTGATGAGAAGGGCTTGTAATAAAAAAGCAAATCAAATTATTGTAGATAAATGATCTAGACTGTGAAGCAAAAGGTTTACATCATGGTGTTGAGTGGTGCATGTGATGGGAGAACCCCCATTTTGTGTGTATGGGATGGACTCTGAGCAGATAAACTCATGAAAACACTAGGTCTGTCCTCAGCAGCAGTCAAAAGCCAATTAAATATTGGAAATTATCAGGGAATAGAGTGAGGATGAAAGAGGACAGCTAATGCTGCTGCCAGGGCAGGGATCCTGAAAGATCCCTGCACAGGGATATCTGTGTAGCTCTGAGTACAAGAACAATAATAAGAACAACTGAACGTAAAGGATAGCTTCCTAAAAGGACTGTGAGAGGATACAAAAGAGTCCAAATGTTGTGAGCATCCTGGGAAAGATGGCTGGGAATCAACAGCTCATGCTGCAAGTCCTGGGGTCATACACCACAGTGGAGTGGAGCCAGTGAGACAAAGGCAACACAGCTGACCGCGTCTCTTTGTTACTGCTAATTCACATGCAAATATATTAGCTGTCAGTTGTACGGGGGAACTCTGACACGTTTAACCCATCTGGGTTAAAATGCAGCTGCAGGGGCTGCCCTGGGCTTGCCTGCGGCGTGGGCAGCAGCCTGGCAGGGCTGCTGGGGCCCTCTTCGCCAGCTCCATCCTTCCTGCAGGGTGGGAAGGGCGGTGCTTTGTGGGAACAGCCTGCTGAAAATCACTGCCCAGCGGCGACTAAAGGACCAGACTCACAAGTCAGCTGCTCAGACCCCATTTGTTCCTGTCACAGTGATACCGAAAGAGGAAAAGTGGAAGGAAGGAATGCATTTTTCCACGCCAATTGAACTATCTCCAACAACTATTAAAACGCTTTAATCACTTAATTACTGAAGTCTTTCACCACAGAGCAGAATTAACAATGCTTTGCATGGCAGAGCTGTATTTTCTAGTCACAGTTCTGAGTTTTACAAATGGAAAATAGCTCCTTCTTAAGTGTTCAGAGCTAAGCAGGTGATTTTACTCAGTGAATTTATGCCTAAATAGCAGGTATGCCAACCCCAGGAGTGAATTTAATGGAATTTTCTTGCTGGTGAGGAAAGGCAGCTGTACAGGTTTTGGCACCTTGCCGTGTAACCTAGTTAAGCAAGTGAGAGAGACATCCCAGCACCAGTGGGTCTGTTCACTGTGGTGACTGCTGAGCTTGCATGTGATACTGGGATGACAGCCCTCCTGTTTAAAGAAGGAAAGTGTCTAATGAACAGAGAGCTATGGCTTGCAGGCTCTCGCACAGCATCCATGAAGAGCTGGGGCCCAGTTCTGCCTGGGCAGAGACCTGGCCTAGCTGCCCCACAGCCTTGCTCATGCATCTGAGGGGATGGATGGCAGCTTGGGCTGGAGACATTGCAGCTCAGCTGCCAAAAACTGTCTTCTGACAAGGCTACCAGCAATACTTGGATGCTTGTGAGCATCCCCTCAGCTGAATTTGGGGGGGTTGTCTCCATGCCTCCCTCACTGCTGCTACAGCCCCGGTGATGTTTGTCTTCTGATGGTTGCTCGTGCCAGAACTGCCACTTGCCTGGGTGTTCCACGGCTTCATTTTTTCTTTTTCTTCCTTTTTTTCCCCCTGCGTGCATAAATCTTGTCAGTTTCAACCTAATTACATTCTTTCCTGACAGACTGTCTCAGGAGCAATGCAAATGAGCTTTGAAACATGGAGATCTGGTTTATATTTGTCAGCTAATTGCCTGAGTGGTACAGACATCTAGAGCTGGCACCTGCCTCTTTGCGTTAAGATTCACCTTTGATTTCAGATCTGATGCTGTTCCTAGAAGACGATTTCCTGATGGAGAGCAAGGATGCTGTCTTTGGGCAGTGTTCTGCTCTTGATGACAGAGGCCTGAATTCCTCAGGTTGGATCCCTTTTACACTTTCAGCACTGAGCACTGAAGTTGTGTCCGGATGCAAAGCAGCATGGATCTGCTTCCCTCCTGGAATGCTGGCCCAGCCTCCGCCTTCTCCACGGTCTCTGTCTATGGTGTGTGGCTGCATGCATCTGCAGTGCATGTGCATGCTGACTAGGCTGCTCTCTGAGATGTGATCCTGGGGTGTTTATGGTCATAAAGGGGAGAGAGAGAAAAATCTCTTTCCCTTGTAATTTGTCTTACTCAGCATGCAGATGCTGGAAATACCAGAACTTTCAGTCCTTTTTGACTTCTTTAGTCTGAAAAATTCCATGACAGTTGAATATCGTGTCCTGAAATGCAACCTACATTTCTTTTGTGCTTTCTTTCTTTTCCATGTAGAAAGCATTCACTTTAATCCATGCTTTACCCAAAGGCCATGCAGAACACAGATGAAATTAGTCAAGTAGAGAGCTGGCTCTCATAGCAAATGTCTGAAATCAGCCCCATTTTCTTTCCCACACACTTCTGCTTTTTTTTTTTTTTTTTTTTTTTTTCCTCTCTCTGTATTTTTTTTTTTTTTCTTCGAACAAGAAGACATCAGATAAACAGCAACATGTGTATTTTAGTGTTTTTGAGAAGCTCTGAAGTAGACCATCAAAACTAACATCAGCCTACTGGGCTGTGTAAGATCTGGCTGTTCTTCAGATAACGCTTCCAGCTTCTGCTGCCTCATTGCCAGGGACAACTACAGCAGCAGCTCACATTAACTATACAGATTCCCTGCAAAATGCAGTGCTACAAGCTGTGTGCTTACAGCTCCACAGCAGCCCTAGCTCTTGTTGATGTTTGCTAGCTTATCCCAATCCAAGAAAAGTCATGTTGGAAAGCTTTGACAGCTTCCACTGATTCAGATATCACAGTATCTCCATGCTGCATGACAGGTACATTAGAAATGCACAGATTAGTTTATCTGTGCTATTGTAGGAATCTGGGTGGGTGGTTCAAGACTGGAAGTGTTTGCCAGCATAGCTCTGCAAAGCATAAACTTACTGAGCTCTCTGGTTAACTTGGCCAAACACAGAGACACTGCAAAGATGTACTGATTCACTGTGGCTCTGAGGCCTTGTCCTTGGTGATTCTCTTGGAGTCACCAAGCAAGGATTTTTAGGATGGAGCAAGAAAGAGCCAGCAATCAAATGCACGTATGTGTGTGAGGTCAAGAGCTTAGATCTCTGTGTGACTGGAAGAAGGGATAAAACTGGCATCTTGTATCTGTTGATAGGAAGCTGGGACCATCAAGAAGAAGCAGTGACAGTCTGCACAAGAAGACACCAGGAGTGATGGGCTTTCAAGAAGAATTTGCTTTTCCTGTAGATATCAGAGGACTTTGTGAGGGGAAAAAATACTCACTGAAGACTATGCAAGGCAAAAAACAATTCTTATATGAAGAAACTGAACCACGAATGAGCTAGAAGGAGGGAAAAGTGTATTAAGAAGTATCACCATATTTTCCTTGTTCTCATACTCTTCTCTGGGCTCCTGTAGTTGGTCACTGAAGTCCTTACTCTTGTTTTCCAGGTGATGACCTGTGCCCAGCTGGTGTTAACGGTGGTAAGGAACTCAAGATCTACTGAGCCAGAGTCCAGTGAAACCACCTCGTGGCTGGATTGGGTCAGCCAGCAGTGGGAAACACCTAGCACTTTTGCATGGAATGAACAAGGAGAATTAGTGACTTACGCACCACAGCTTGAGTTAAACCAACAACTGGTAGTGGTATGTACTCTCTTCTCCCAGCAGTGGGACACTGAGGTCTGCTCTTATCAGGCAGATACCTTTTGTGCTGGTCTGTTTATCATTATGAGACAAACTTGTCCATGCTGTTTCTCCACCAGTGAGAGCTGAACAATACCAGGGATGAATTTGGGTCTTGCAGACCATTAGACTGCTGCCTTTGGCAGTACTGCAGTACACAGTAGGGCTGAGATTCAATGTTGACATTTCTTCATACTTTTGCTTCCTCTTGAGAATAAATACACATTGTAGAGTTCTTTTTTTTTTTTTCTTTTCTTTTTTTTTTTTTCCTATATCAAGAGGACAAGGTTGTATTTTTGCATAGCATGTAATTAACAAAACACTCTGATTAATCTGAGGGGGGGATTTTCTTTTTTTTTTTAAATCAGCCTTCTAATCTGCATTTCTACTGCTTTTTAACAAGTCAGTACATACTGCCTCAGGGTGTTTTGTATAGGGTAATAACCAGATGAGTTATTATGCTTCATGCTGTTAACCTGAGCTGATTACTAAATCCTTGGAAAAGGTTTACATACATAGCCCTTTACCACTGTCAAAAATTTGCACAGAATGTTTTTCTACATCCCTTCGACCACTTTTGCAGAAGAACAAGACTGAGCAGCTTCACTTGATAATGAAACTATTTTAAAACATTGTATATGTCTAAAGTCCACAAACACTTTGGACTCTATTTCTGCTTCCTAAATTGAGACATTCATGGTCTTATTTCTATTGATGCTGATCATTTGCTCTGTTCAATACTGAACTGCGGCTAAGCAGACCCAACACAAATATATCAAAAGAATTTCCTAGAGTTACAATTTACCTCAAAATTTAGGATACTTTATTGCTACTAATCCTTCCTGAGGACCTGATCCTCTCTCTCTCTCTCTCTCTCCTCTTCCTTCCTCCCTTCCTCCCTTCCTCCCTTCCAGACCAGTTAAGAAAACCACCACGGGAGATGGGTGTCAGTGGCACCCAGCGTGGTGTTTTTGCTGAGTGCAGTAGTCCTTGGGTGTGCAGTAATCAGGTGCTTCTCCAGGCTTCTTCCTCCAGCTGAAACAGCAAGGAGCTTTGTTGTACACCTGGGATCAGTTCTTAGGAAACTACCCTCATAAATTTGTGTTGATTTTCCTTATAACATGAAGCAACACCTACTTCCTTGCAATTCCTGCTACACTGCCATGTCATGCTGACTCTACAACATTCAGAAACATCCAAGTGTGGCTGTGACTCTAGTAATCTTTGTGTCAGTTTTATTTGTTGCACTGAAGAGAGGCCATAATAAACATTAAACAAAGACATGAGGAAATCTTCATTACAGAGTGTTTTTCCTAGTATCTTGTACTAATAAACACAGTTGTCTATTTGGAAAGATGCCTTCAATCTGTTGATTTATTAGATATCAGCCACGCTGCGAACACTGGCTTTCTCTGCTTTTGTAAAACAAGCAATGGAAAGAAAGCTGCCTCACAGGAGAGTTATGTAATGTTGGCCTGTCTCCTTTCATAAACACTGCCTTATGCCAGTCAAGGGGGAGATTATTCTGAGAAATCAAGAGAGCTCATTGTCTCAGGCTTTTTGCTTGCATCCTGCAGCCCTGGTCCTGTTTGAACTGATGGGGATCTTCTTGCTGACTTCAGTAGCACTAGCACATGGCCAAAAGCCTTCTGGCGATTAGCTGTGATGGGTTACTGACAGCTTGTGACCTCAAGGTCACAGTGGAAAAACCTGTCCATAAATCTAGGCTGGCTGCAGCAATGTCTAGGCAACTTTCAGGAAAGGTCCACAGCCTGCGTCCGTCCTGCCAGGCAGAGAGGCAAAATCCAACCAGCTGCAGTGGTGATCTCCACACAGCCATTTCAAACCAAAGGGCTTGCTCAACTGCATGTGGAAAATTTGAATGTTTTCAATTTTGCTGATTGGTTTTCAAGTCTAATTTGATTTTTCTCTTGAAATGAGATAATGAGGCAGCTCTGGTAGCCGCTCCCTGCCTAGATGATCACCAGTGTGTGAGGTACAGGGCAGGGCTGCTAGCTGAGGGAGCTCATGCTCTTCACCAAGCTGCCTGAGCAGCACTCTCTCACAGCTTTTGCCAGCTTCCTTAGGCTGTTGCCTGCCTACTTCTATACCTCTCTGCTTCAGTGGGCATGAGAGCAAGTGTATGCTGATGTATGTGGGGTGTAAGAAGCCTGGGAAATGCAATCACTCAGTGAGGGCAGAGACTGCTCGAGGTGAAGCTCTAAGACTGCTTGAGGTGATGCTTTAAGCCCATATTGGGAAGAATCACACATTTTTACTTTTCTTATATAATTCTACTTTGAGTCTGAGAGAAGCTGCTGTTTCTTCCATAAGACCTAGCTGTAGGGATTATGTTACCACTTCACTGTGTTTATAGTCTTAGTTCATAGTTGCATAGAAAAGTAAAGACACAAGTGTCTCTTGAAATCTCAGAAGCCACTCAGTAGTGAAGAAATGTGTTAAATGTGTTTGCATGAACAAACATGGACAAGTGTGTATTTGGGAGATCCTTGCTAGGCCTCAACAAAGTCATTTATTCTCCTTTGTGGAGGATCATATTAAGTTACACTGATCTGTGGGAACTGAAGTTCTCCCTGAGACAGGCATCAGCTCAGCTGCTGTGTTCCCATCAGTTGTTGAAACAAAACTCAGCCTGTCTCCCTGGCTCTGGGTGACTACAAAAAAAAAAAAAAAAAAAACACAGTAAAACATTGCAACCTCCACACATGGGGTTTTTAATCTCCTATTTCTCATCTTACAGAGGATTCAAGACCTGGGTGTCATTTGCAGCTAATAATACTGTGTGTGGGGTTGACTTGTTGCCTCTGATAGTGGTGGCTACCATGTCAGTGGCCTGTGACAGCACTTCAGACTGAGACCTGTGCTGACTGGGCAAGCTCAAGGGAAAGTGCTTGTCTGGTCCATAGCATGTCTTGGCCACAACAAGCACAGAGGGACTTGTTCTGCAGGTGCTGGTGAGTCACTTCAGGCCTCCTTTGGGTGATGCCTATAATTGTGCTGCTCTAACAATGCCATCATAGTTGCACACCGAGACTGTGCAGTAAGCAGTAACTTTGCAGGTGGGAGGTCCAACTGGATGTACGGTGCCCCATCTCTAACACTGACACATCAAGTTTTTTGTACAAAGCAGAAGCAGAAATATTTCCTGTTGCTTTTTCTGTTATTCAGATCTGGCAAATACTGCTCATACCTGAAATTAGAGAGATTCAGCTTAAAGTGTTGTCCAGGTCTGTTTAAGCTATTGGCCACTGTGTGCATGTGGAAGAGCAGATAAAGACTGGAGCCAGTGGTTATAGCTCAATATATCTCTATTTATTTATTTATTGTCCTACATTTCTATTAAAACAACAACAGTAAAGACATGGAAAGGGCCAGAGGTATCCCAGCACAGTGATGCCTGACATCAATTATTTCATCTGAAGATTGCATAATGATTCCTCTGATGCCACCAACACACTTGAACACACCAAAACAACAGACTCTCCCCCTCCACCACACATGGAGGAGGTTCACTTCACCATGTCCAGGCCCTACAGGTAAGTCTGTTCCAAGTACCATACTCCGAGGGAGACCGAATTTCTATTCACTGCTTTCTCCACTGCAACACCTGTTCTTACAGTAATACAGTTCTTTGTAATCCTTTACCCCAGTTGTATTTTTGCACCTGGATTTCGTTATGCTTAGTTCTTCTCTCTTTCATGAATCTTAATTGAAGCTAGTTCTCCTTTCACAACCATAAGTATCCAGTGGTAGATTATAAAACTTGACCTTTCTAAAGTTTTTGCATGTTCAGCTATTTCCAGTATTATATGTATTTTCTACAGCGAGAAATTTTCAGTAAAATTACAGCTTCAAACCCTTCTTATTTCAAATTGAAGTATGAATGCTTTTTTGCCCAAAGACAGAATGAAAATCCTGCATACCTAACAGCAGAGATCAGGCCTTCCTGTTGCACATACAGTGCAAAGACCCTGGGAAGGTCAGCTGGGTCTGCAAAACTACAGTGCAGCAGGTGGAAACCTGCAAGGAGGTGAGGGGATGTGCTGTGTTCATGTGTGAGAGAGATGTTGTGAATTTGGAGTGCCTGCATACAGCTGATGTTTTTGAGGTGATCCCATTGAATCCTTGCCTGTTCTGTTGTTCCTCCATGAGATGTGATGTAGCTGCATGCCAGCTCCTGTGTCTGCAAACCAAAACAGCTCTACCCAAGGCCCTTCTTCTGCCAATATCACAGTTAACTTTGGTTATCAGAGTTAACCTTCATTTTAACTTTATTGCAGCCTGAAGGGTTTCTGAGATAGGAAGCACAGAGTGGTGGGTGGGGGTGTTTAAAGGCATGTTTAAATACATCTTTTCATACCTAGGCAATCCCAGAAAGCCATATAGCAGGTGATAAACTCAGATACCAAACATTCTGTTCAGCTGATTAAAGCTCCCGGTGCATCAGAGTGCCGCGCTCATTCCTGTCCTCCCTGACAGCTAATCTGCAAAGAAACTGGGGCAGGGAGGAGCTCAGCCTGAGCCATTTCCTTGAGCTGCAGTTGTTGTTTACCCAGTACCTAGGTACTTGAGGTGCTGTTGCATGAAGAGTGGATGATACCTTAGTGTTTCTTTGAGACAGTTCCCTTCACTTAGGAGAAACATGGGCTCTCCCACTGGGTGCTGTCGGAGCAGACCAGTTCACACCCTAGCCCTCTAACCAGTGCTCCTCCAACAAGCATCCACCAGGACAATGTGTCTCTTGCCACGTGGGCCTCCTGATGCTTTCACCTGAATACTGTAATCACTTTACACAGCTCAAAGACACGCATGATATGACCTTGCACAAACTCACACATAGTAGAAGAGGCAATGTGGCCCTAAGGAGTTGCTGCTCCAAATCTCTGGGACGGATGACAAGATATCTGGATTTGGTTTCCAAGCCTGTCATTGCATGGCAGGCAACTTTAGGCAAACCACATCAGTATCTTTCTTGGCATGACCCCAACAAAAGAACTAAGCAGTGATATCACATTTTGTAGGGATCTGCCAACAGAAGAGAACATTGATTCTCTTTTTTTCATGCCTGGAGGCACTCAAGGCCAGGTTGGATGTGGCTCTGGGCAGCCTGGTCTAAGCTGCACATAGCAGGGGGTTGAAACTAGGTGATTATGGTCCTTTTCAACCCAGGCCATTCTATGATTCTATGACTGTAAGAGCTCAAGGATGTCACTGGATAAGGCACATCTCCAATATTAGCTGTGCCATAAGGTAATCACATGTAATGTTCATCAAGAGAAAGGTTTTTAAAAGTCAGGCTATGAGATATGAGAAGTTATTTAAAGTTAACCACCAAATACATCTGTTTCCCTCCAAATATTATCTTAAACTTTAGCGCTGGGTTCATTGGCAGAGAAATTAAACTTCAGGTGGACTTTGAACACTGAAGTATTATTTCCCTTTTGTTTGCTGATCACAACCTTTTCTAATGGTAGACTCAAGGAGTTTGAGAAGCCAAATCTTCCTCTGTTACATCAAAGGAACGCTGTCAATGGTCAGGTAAACT